GCCCGGCCCAGCGCGCAGCCGCGGGGGGCTGCGCCCCTGGGACCCCGGTCCTTTGCGACCTGGCGCTTGGCGGAACTTGGGGAGGAGCGAGGTTTAACCTCCTGGCGGCGGCTCCCCCGCTGCGCCCCACTTTCCTGGGGGAGACTTAAGAATGAGCCTGGACAAATGGGGAAACTGAGGCAGGGGAGAGGAGGGACGCCATCAGAGCCAGAGATGGTAACCCCACGCCCAAGGGCAGCCCCATCCCGCCGCGCTGCTCCGGATCGCGCCCTGATTTCTCTCCCAGGGGAGAAACCGAGGTCTGGGCAGGCAAGCGGGGTGCCCGGAGGCAGCGCGGGTAGTGCTGGGCCTGGAGGGGTCGGAGACCGGAGACCAGCATGCCCCGGGCAGACCTAAAAGTTGGGTCCTTCTGCACCGAGGACCGGGTGTCACGGACACCCCAGAGGCAAGCTCCTGCACCCCGCCCCGGTCCGCTGCAGAGAGACAAAGCGAGGGCTCTGGCTGGCAGGTGGGGAGGGCGGGGCGTGGCCACCGAGGAGCGATCCATAAAGCAGAGAAATGAGGTCACTGCGCCGAGGGGGAGGGGCGCGCCCGCGGGGCGGGGGGCTGTGGTCGTGGGAGAAGCAGTGTCCCCCTGTGGAGGTCCCAGCTGGAGCCCACGTCTGGGCTGTTGTCGGGTGTCTCTGCTATGTGCAAGGAAGGGCAGTGTGTCGAGGGTGTCTGGGGCACGTCTGGGGTGATGAGGTCCCTTGGGGAGAGACTGGCCTGGCTCCTTGACATAAAGAACTTGATCACCTAGCACCATCCATGTTTCTGTCCCTAGTGGCCAGGGTTCAAATCCAGCATCAGAATGACAACCGTGGGAGTGGACAGGCCTCAGGATCTCTGAAGCCTTGTTTCCTCTGGAGACTATCACTTGCCTTCCAAGTTGCTGTAAAACCTAGGTGACATTCATCAGTATCTGGGTGGTAGTAGTAGGCATCTTGTAGGTATTACAATACATCAAACTCCTATGCATCCTTCAAAACCCAAGTGCAAAGTTTTATCTTCCAGGAGCCCCATCTGACTCCCCTCATTCAAAACCCAGGTCTTTCATCGGCTTCCATCCAGACCTCTGAGGACTAGAGACTCTCGAGTTGGCCTCAGAGGTCAGAATCCAGGTCACCTTTCTAGGACATGAATAGACACATTAAATGAGTCGTCATGAGGGCTGCTCACAGCTGTTGGCGTTGGAGGTTTATTGGCAGCAACTCTACGGGGTGGTGGGCAGGGACCTCCATGAGCCACACTATGAGAAGCAGGGATGAACCCAAGCTTGGCAGAAACCAGAGCTGTGCGGGAATCGGGGCCCGGTGGGGCTGGACACCAAGTTCCAGGACACAGGAAGCTCCATCGCCGGCCAGGAAAAGGAGCATTGCCTGCCTGCCCTGGCCTGCTGTGACCGGGAGAAGAGAAACTGGGGCGCTACACAGGGCCTTGGGGCGTGGCCTCGGGGATGGAGGGCCAGGCGGCACCCGGAGAGACCTCAGACAGCAGCAGGGGAGGAGGAGGCACCATGTGCCCTGTGGCTGCCCTGAGTCCCCCGCAGCACCCTGTTTCCTGCGGAGGCCCGCTTTGAGTGGCGGGTACCCATGCTGTAGGCAGGGGCCCTGGCTCTGTTCACAGTGACCCGCTCGGGGCTGTGGCTGCCAGGCCCAGGCGTCTCCTCCAGGAGCTGTGGGGCACAGGGCCGGCCCAGCATGGTGAAGGCTGGCCGGCGTTGGCGGTAGGCGTTGGGGTCTGGGCTGTCGTACTGGCCAGGGCCTGGGAACTTGGCAGGGTCCTGTGGGAGGCAGGCAGGGGGCGTGCGGCCCACCACCGTATAGCTGGGGCTCCTGGGTTTGACCAAGATCTGTGAGCCCCAGAGCGGCGGCATGGTGTAGGCATTAGGGGCTGGGGCCGAGCTGTCAGGGGCCTTAGGGTACAGGCGCAAGCCAAGGGTGAATGCTGGGGGGTTCCGCTGGCGCACAGGGGGCACCTTCTCCGGGCTGTAGGCCCCAGGGCCTGGCGTCACCTCCAGACCTGTGGGAGCAGGGACACAGGGTTGACACAGGACAGAGACCTCCCCCATTCGAAGACCTTGTGTGGCCCCCCACCACGCATGTGCAGCCTGGAGCTCCTACACAAACCACACAGCCCCAGGACATTTCTCCCACTGCTTCCCATCCTCCATTCACACTCTGCTTTTCCGTCTCCAGGGCTTCACGCGAGCCTAACCAGTGGCCTGCGGTGGCTTCCCCTTCCCATCCCGCCTCCCAAGAGCCGCTCCTCATTCCCCAGCTGCCAGCCCCACTGCCCCTCCTCTCCAGTGGTCTCCCCACACCCCCTTCTGGGCAGGTCTTGCCTTCCTGGCCCTCCCAGGACATCTCAGGCCTGGATCTTCCTCTCTCCAGACAGGACCACCCTGAGGGGTGATGGCCCCCTCTTGGGTCTGAGGCCACCACCAGCATGGGCCTCGTAAGACACGAGGACAAGTCCTGTGTGCAGTTTGTGGGACTAAGCAGGTGGATGGGGTGGTGCAAGTGGTCAGGCAGAGTGAATGGGCGAATGAGTGGACCCATGAACGTACAGGGAGCTGAACCAGTCAGTGAGTGCACGCAGTGAATGGGGGAGGGCCGGGGG